AGGAAAATTGTCTAATCTTAAAATCTTATCAGAAAAGTTGCTTGAGTGTAAATCATTTAAACTTTTTCTACAACTGCTAGGTACATTAAAAAGCGGGCTTTTTTACATAATGGCAACTAGATTATGTTGAAATACTTCTGGGATTTTGATTTGGCTAGAAGACCTCCTGATTTTACCAGCCTTCCTAGACTTCTTTTCAAGACTAAATTGACAATTTATCTATCAAACTTTGAATGATAAATAGCAGGGACATTTTGTTCCTTCTGTTTTGATGTTTATCTATGTAAAATTGGAATGTTCCCTTGGCAACTAATACACTGTGGACAAAGTTATTAAATTACTTCTCTGTACTACAGCAATTTTCATTGATAATAGGAAGCTGACTGTATTACTTTGTAATTCTGTAATTGTATTCTATATACAAGCAACATTGTTTGAACCAAGGGAAGGGAAGGCCTTGAAATATTTCCTGGGCACTAGTACAGTGTTTCATCTGATTTTCCCATGGTTCTTGAGACTCTAAAATAAAATTATGACAAATGGAAATGAGGGGGTAGAGAAGGAGAGAATTATCTCAGCAAACTCTAGGGAAAAAAATCTCAAAAGTTGGACAAAGATACCACTGGATATTAAAAACCAGGTTCTTTGCGCGTCATTCAAGTCTCGCTTGATTTATATATTAACACGCCCATTATATAAAGACATTGATTTAGGACTGTAATTTGCAAAATGAAAATTGACTTTCATTAACCCAGAAAAATGGACACAAAAACAAATTGTAAGTGGAATGAAATAAGGGGGGGGGGGGAGATGAAATTATGACTAGCTAAAAACAGATACTGCAAGGAGAGATCTGATCTTGTGGCAGTTTTATATTTTTAGACAAAAAAACCCAGATGTACAATTTTTCTACTAGTGGCAGATAGAAGAGGGCAATAGAAAAAGCTAGGTAAATACAAGAGGAGGAATTGAGGACAGGTCTCAACCTGACAAAAAGATTAGAAGATTACAACACATTCAAATCCAAACATTATCCAGTTACCTCATTGAAGCCTATGGAGTATTTTGCTGCTAAAATCTGTATTCTTCTAATATAATACAAAAGCATGCTCTCTGTTCATTAACTAGCACCCTTCTTAGTCCACCCTTTTTTCAAGAGCTTGGTGCCAGATATACAAGTAATTTAACATAGTCATTAAATAAAATATGAATTAATGCAGTGAAATAAGAGTCTCAGAATTAATTTTAGACCATCCTTGCTAAAAGCCAACTGGTTGAAAGCAAGAGGCTAAGAGTGTATGTGGATATGACACACAACAGAAAACAAAGGAAAGATACATGCTGATTATTGTTGTGTTACCTCTTTCCACAGTACTTACTTAGCAAACATTTCAAGGTCCTTTGCAAAAATTTCTGAAAGGGAAAAATTAAAAGTATCTTAAAATGTTTTCACTTGAAAAGTAGAGCCAATCTCAGCACAGTTATAGGTAAATCATGACTATTTAATGTAACCTAGCCAGCTTCCAATATTATCATAAACAGATTTATTTGTAAACAGCTCCAGCTTGTTAGTTAGGTGGGGATGAAAAGAATGGTTATAGAACAGCAATTTTATAAGCTAAGGAAAGATCTAATAAAACATTCCAGAAAAATTAAAGGCAACCTATCAAGGATAACAGGATGAATGAAGGGAAAAGAAATATACCCATAAAAATAAATATTATGAGCTAAAATTCTGGATCTTATTAACCAAATAGTTGAAAGTGCACAGGAGAATGAATATAGCAGCTACCTAGAACTCCTTAAAACAGCTGTACCCTTTTGGATTTTACTATTGAAGATGTTACATTTGCTCTCCTATGTGTTTCAAAGCACGTTTTTAAAGATCAAATCCAGTCTGGGAGGAGTGTATAACAAAATGTACATGATGACGTCACACATATGTACATGATGATATCGCACAAAGGCCATGATTTGTCTCTTTGTGTCAGCCATCTGAAAGCAAATACATACTAGTATTCTGTATGGATTAGAAGTCCCTTCTACGCAACTGGAAAAGAAATCTAGAGTAGAATTGCTGTCTAGTTTCAACTGATTTTGCTGAAGGATCTGTGCATTTTCTCTAGTTTTACTGAAGTTATCTCTAAGGTTATTTCCAGTTCCTTTTTAAAGAAATACTACAATATTGAAAACATCAGGAAATGTACCGCATTGTCTAAAGGTGATCTCAGAAATAGCTGCGATGCTCTGTTTGCTAAACTGAATGTGTTTCTCTTCAGCAACTTCCTGGCACAGACAGGCAACAGTGTAATGAAAAGCCGCTTTCAACCTCTAGGAAAAACATAGTTAAGGAAAAAACGTTACAAAATTATTCTATGCACTGGTGTGTGTGTGTGTATATTATACCAGGTCTTCAAACTAACTAACTAAACAGAATACATAATAAATAAATGAAGTATGATTATCAAGCCAAGGTTTTTGAAATCTTTGAGTAATTTAAGAACTTGGGAGACCCAGAGTGATCAGGAATTTGGGATTTCATATCCCCTTCAGCATTTTATAACAGCACCCACACCTGTTTCCTAAATCTTAGGTGGCTTTGCATTTTTTCAGAAAAATCAGCATTTTTTTACAAGTTTCTTAACTGCCTTGTGTAAAGTATTTGAAAACCAGTGTGTATGTACATATTTAATCCATATACATATGTATATATAAGGTGTGTGTGTTTTTAAATACACA